ATCAATTACAACCTTGATAACAGCTGCGACATTAACCACAAAGGATATTAAATATCACACTTGCCGGTCTGATACATTCACAAAACACTGAATGCTGTTGAATAATTTGACAACAATACATGACATGTTATTAATTTTCTAAAATTGAATTGGAATTGAAGAGCAATTTTCAAGTGGAAAACATACATGTACTATTGAAAGCGAGTTTCACAAGAAGCTTTGCTACAGGTGAACTGACTATCGCCAGTTGGACTGTTATTTCCAGACTCTGATGCTAAGAACAATAAACTCTCAAGGCATTAATGATTAAGAAGTAGGGAAACTAACAGAATATTCTCTGAAAATGTTTCAGATGCAGGTAATACATGAACGTGTTTAACAAGGTGCAAATGTTCACATCCAGTATGCAAGAACATACTCCAAGGATACAAACAAAATATATATTGCATCCCAAGGGACGCACTACAATATCTTTTATACCAAGTTCTTGGCAAGCAATATAGACTTTCCTCAGGGCTCCAGATAAGGGCCGTATCAACGTATGTACGGATAAAAAATATGCATGATACGATAGGAAATAATTTTGAAAACGTAGCAGATACGCACCACAGCAATGGTGTACGAATAATTTACAGACGTATTTATATGAAAAGGTATTGTTTTATTGTTTATTGACCTGTTTACACAAGAGTAGCAATGTTGTGGTGCATACACCAAACGAAACACAAGAATACTGATTACTAATTTCCATTCAGTACTCTAAATGTACTCTTAAGTTTTTCCAGTACTCCTATATTGAAAAAATAAGGAGTACATACTCCTGATGTTGAAAAATTATCTGGAGCCCTGCTTCCTGTTTAAAACTAAATTGCTTCACATTAAATCACAGTACACTACCCTGGTTCGCTACTCTGAGTGAGTGAGTGAGTGTAATTATAAGCACTCAGCAATTTCCATTATGTCGGTCTGTAACTCAGCAATATTCCAGCTATATGGCGGTGGTCTGTAAAGAATCGAGCCTGGACCAGATAATCCAGTGATCAACAGCATGAGCATCGATCTGCTCAATCTGGAACCGATGACATGTGTCAACCAAGTCAGCGATCCTGACCACCCAAACCTGTTAGTCGCCTCTTACGACAAGCATGGGTTACTGAAGGTTCATTCTAACCCGGACCTTCACGGGTCTCGCTACTCTGAGTGACACTACAACTTCCTGAGAGGACCCCTGAAGTTTGTACGTGGGGATATTGCCTTTGTCAAAACAAACAGCAGGTGTCATCCCACGGCAAGATGTTCAATAGATTTGACTAAACTTGTGTTCAACTTCTTTGAGTGGCATTTTAGAAGTTGGGACGTACAATATTGAACAAACTTTATGGATGACAACTTCTACTGTTTCGTGAGTGTGACGTTTTGATGCAGATTCTTGCACCGTTGTGCATCATTCCTGCTTGACAAGTACAAGAATCTGTATCGAAACGTCGCACTCATGAAATAACAGAAGTTGCTTGACAAGTACACGAATCTGTATCGAAACATTGCACTCATGAAATAGAAGAAGTTGCTTGACAAGTACAAGAATCTGTATGGAAACGTCACACTCATGAAATAAAAGAATTTGTTTGACAAGTACAAGAATCTGTATCGAAATGTCGCACTCATGAAATAAAAGAAGTTGCTTGACAAGTACAAGAATCTGTATTGAAATGTCACACTTGTCTCAGGAGGCATACATACAGTTTTCTACAACAAGCAAATGTGCATCAAGTACTCACAAATGTAGAGAATGAATGTAAATAAACAATTCACTGCGTCCTCAGAGACACACAATATTATTGATTGTACCCACAACACATCTCTGACTTTGCTAAGTGTTTGGTTGTTTCTTTTATAGCAGTCATGTGCGTCATTTAACTGATTCATTCCAGGCTCTGAAAAATTATCAAAACGTACAGTTCTCTACACCTTTACTTCAGAGGACCCTCAAACTGCCTGCAAGGACCATTTAAAATAATATTTGGGGGTCCCCAGGACCCCAATGTTTGTGACGTGAGTTGAGGTAAAACCCTGCACACCATTAGCATGTACTTCAGTTTGTTGCAGGACAAAAATCCTAGAACTCACAGGGCTCAAGTCGTCAATCACCATCACCCAACAATACTCAGTGGCCAACCCTAACTGACTTTGTTCAAAATTGCCTCCTTTCACCTAGCAGAATTATACCTAGCGGGATAAATCATGTGACTATAACCTTTTAGCACCTAACAGGCAGTTTGGATTATCCGGGGTAATAATGTGATAGCGCTTTGAGCATGCACATATGGCCATTATCATTATCACTCATCCAATGTGTAGCCTGTCTCAGTCTACAGTGCCAATATTGGAGATGAGAATGTTACATTTATAAATTCATATCAGAGGCCCAGATAAGCTGCGTATCCGGGTAATATATGCATAGAACATTTCCAATTACGCATTGAAAAATAATTGTTGCGTACCAATTACGCATTTAAACTGTTAGATACGCAAAGAGCTTAAAACAAATTCGTACGGAATATACTTATAAAAATCGCTTGCATAATGAAAAAGACATCGATTGCTATCAAGTCGTACTGTTAGTATAGGACAAGTGTTGTACTGTCAGTATAGGATGACTGATTTTTTATGAAATCATTTCCCTTATATTTAAGTTGGTTTTGATTAGGTATGACATAAGGCAGAACATACCTGCTTAGTAAACTTACTCAATGACACAATACTTAGGTGTGTAAAATGACTGAAATACGCACATATTTGAAAGCAGTGGGTAACGGAAAATGAAATACCCACTCAACATTCATAATACCCACTCCAAAAATACAGTGGGTACAGTACCCACATTAGCTAAATCTTATCTGGAGCTCTGCATATGACAAGGCAGTTATTATATTGTAATCTAGACTTTGAACCATGACTTACAATTTGATCAAGCTGGCAATTTATAATTTCAAACTAATCAACGAGGAAAATACATGACTAGCACCCGGGTTGTGGGCTTTGCTGTCCAGAGTTCTTTTGTTTTTTGTTCCAGAATTACATCATGCATGAACTAAAGGTGTGACCTCGCACTTGAAAGCCACTTCATGCATGATTTATGAAACCCAGAACCATTAACGCACTGGTCTGGCAACAACCGAACATGCACTGTCAAGCCCTTCCGTCAGTCAGGACAGTGAATTGAAAGTCCATCTCTCTATCACAAGACCTGTGCAGGTCCGGGTTAGAATGAACCTTCAGTAACCCATGCTTGTCGTAAGAGGCGACTAACAGGATTGGGTGGTCAGGATCGCTGACTTGGTTGACACATGGCACATGAAAGCCACTTCATGCATGATTTATAAAACCCAGAACCATTAACGCACTGGTCTGGCAACAACCAAACATGCACTGTCAAGCCCTTCCGTCAGTCAGGACAGTGAATTGAAAGTCCATCTCTCTATCACAAGACCTGTGAAGGTCCGGTTAGAATGAACCTTCAGTAACCCATGCTTGTCGTAAGAGGCGACTAACGGGATCGGGTGGTCAGGCTCGCTGGCTTGGTTGACACATGTCATCGGTTCCCAATTGCGCAGATCGATGATCATGCTGTTGATCACTGGATTGTCTGGTCCAGACTCGACTATTTACAGACCACCGCCATATAGCTGGAATATTGCTGAGTGCTGCGTAAAACTAAACTCACTCACTCTATCACATGAAAGCAGTGTCATCTACAGGGTTTCCTTAAAACCTCCCTCTAATAGAGAAGAGGTTCTTTTAACCATACTTCGTCTTGGGCATTGTGGTATTGGTGCATGTCTCAATATTATTAATAAAGATATTCCTGCAAATTGTACAGTGTATAATTATCATTATTAAATGGGTATTATATGGGGATGATTTTTATGGTGAAGCATGTTAAATGTGAATGATTCCCCTAAAATTTATGTACAAAGTAAGTGACCCCACCTGCAAATCAATGACCAGCCAACCCCCCAGTACATATAAGTACAAAATTGATGACCCCTTTCCAGAACAAAATGGGTGACCACCCCTTAAAATCATCATCCCAGCCATAAATTAAGAAGGGTCCCTTATATATGCTGCATGAAAATAAGATTATGTACACATAATTTTTTTTAAAAATAAAAAAGAGAAGTAGAAGCCTAGTCACATGTTACATCTGCGAACGAGAAAATCATACATAGCTTAGCAAGTCTGTAGAACTTTGTTGACAACCAATACAGTGCAGTGGGATAATATGGATTATTCAGTTCCACGGTAAAATAATAATAACTCATAATATTCAGTAACCTTTCCGTAACTCGATTGATCGGTATCTGTCAGCAAGTTAACAAACTTACCGTCCGGGATCACCGCCTCATTTAGCCGAGAGCAGCGTGCCGGCCTTACATACAGTGATATTGCCGAGTGCGGCGTTATAAAAACAATCCTGGCAACCAGCATCGAATGTTCATGCTTTGACTGTATAGGACCGCATCGCGGCTGTCGGCTACGCTTCATTCATTCTCTGAACACGTTGCGGTAATTGTTTCAAGAATAGCTCCAACTGAATATTAAAGATAGATATAGGTTATATAACTATACCGCTCTGAAATGACAAATCACATCACAGTAATGAGACGGACTACATATGTCATGTGTCCGTTAAGGAAATGTGTGTCATGTTTTTGGTCCTGAAGGAGGTGTCATGATAAACATATTCCACAAATCTTCAACTATGACGACTCTTTATTCTCCATTGCCTCCGGATCAGAGCGAACTGTTTCACCATTGGCATTCTGCGTTATCTGAATGCACGTATATGTAACACTATAGCAGACAATCACCCATTTCATTCACAAGCTGATCTCGCCACTTACAAGCTTGCATCACCACAAACAGGTGTTTCGCGAGGAAATGCTCATATTCTTGAAAATTCTACACACAACACAGTCACACGCTCGGCAAGTACTTACTGCAACCACTACCCAGTTCCAAGAGAACGGATTGCCGTCAAGTTGAAATAAGAATGCAGCCCGCTTCTCAACAGAGACTCGCGTCGACTGCTCTCACCGCGCCGCCATAGATCACGTGACTTCATGTGACCCAACCTGACGGTATTGATCTGTTGTTGTCACTCAGCAAGCAAACGGATGGGACAAGTAGAATTAAATTCTGACAACCAGCACGATGCAGGAGGAACGTTGTCGTAAAAGGATTGACTATTTCCGACAAAAAAACGTAACACAAAATCCTCAAGTTGTTCCATATATAGGAAAAGTTCTGGCCACTGAACGACACATGTGCCTCTCAAATGAGCCGGTGAACTGACACATATCGCAGTGTTATTGTTTATATCCCCTTCAAGGTTTTAGCGTGGAAAAAATCGTTCGGAAATATCCTGAAGGGAAAATAAAAGCGACGCCGAGGTTACTGCCAGCAGGATCGACGAAGTCTGATTGGTGATTTAGTGTTTTGCATTCAACATAAATGTCATTTGAAAAACAACTAAACATATCGTCATATTTGGGAGCACTTAATACAGGGACGGATTCAGGCAGGATTTGGAGGCGGCTTTTTGGGGGGGTATTTTTTCTTTCTTTTTTTATGTTGTTGTTTTTGTTTTGTTTTGTTGCTGTTTTTTGGAGGGGTGTTAACGTTTTGTTAAATTGGTTATGGTGTGTGTGATCCCAATCAAACTACAATATATTTTTTTTTAATTTACTATGAAGAAGAAATTGTTTCGAATAAAATATGTACAAGAAAATGTACTCCTTAGTATTAACGATAATTCACCCCAGGACAGGTTCGCCAGCCTGCACTCTTGTCAAACACATGATGTTTCATGTGTTCTATTATTCATCAGCATTTTGCCACGACATAATCTGCTCTGTTTGTTTTTAGTAACTTGCGTTTTCGCAACTCAAAGTAACCCCTGTACATTTTTTCATTTGTTTGCTTGTCCTTTTTATGTCAGTGTAGTTCTTAAAACCTTAGACAATTTTCATCAACTCTTTCTAAAACATCAGAGGTGCATATACCTCGGAATATGACCAGGATTAAGGCTTCAGTACTCCAATTTTCACCACGTTTTTAGATATTCTACAATTTTAGACGCGTACCAGTGTGTATTTTCTCGCCCCACCGCCCACGTTGCGTAAAGGGACCCCGAGAATGACGCTATTAATGTCTCAAGCAAGCGCGAGCTTCTCGCTCATACGCAAAGATATGTCATCCGTGTCCAAAAATAATAATAAACTGTCAGTTATGTCAAAAAATGTCTAAATGTTATCTGTGTCACCATGACCTACCACCACACAAATGGGAAAATAGGTCACTGAGTGAATTATACATAAGGTGATTCAGATAATGTACTTTGTTTTCTTTAACTTGTGACGCATTAGAACTGCCATCAGTTTTCTTAAATTTTCTACTTTCTTCAATTTAACTGTTATAGTTTGCTTTGTCTGCATGCTTGTACTTGTGATGCATTAAGACTTCAAACAGTTTAATATTCCCACTCTTTCTTTAATATCTAATGTACATATACTTTGCAACAGACGGGATTATTCGCTCCTGTTTTATGTATTGTGCATAGATATGTTTCTTCGAATTTCTATGTTTTGGGGTTGCTAGAATATCTTTCATGTATCATGCAAATTTCTTGCTCCGTCAGACGCTGTTATTACTGCTGGGGATGTGTCCTATAGTACAACGATGGAGAGGAGCGTCCTATAGTACAACGATGGAGAGGAGTCCTATAGTACAACGATGGAGAGGAGTGTCCTATAGTACAACGATGGAGAGGAGTGTCCTATAGTACAACGATGGAGAGGAGTGTCCTATAGTACAACGATGGAGAGGAGTGTCCTATAGTACAACGATGGAGAGGAGTGTCCTATAGTACAACGATGGAGAGGAGGTCCTATAGTACAACGATGGAGAGGAGAGGAGAGGAGTGTCCTATAGTACAACGATGGAGAGGAGTGTCCTATAGTACAACGATGGAGAGGAGCGTCCTATAGTATGGAGAGGAGCGTCCTATAGTACAACGATGGAGAGGAGGTCCTATAGTACAACGATGGAGAGGAGCGTCCTATAGTACAACGATGGAGAGGAGTGTCCTATAGTACAACGATGGAAGGAGCGTCCTATAGTACAACGATGGAGAGGAGCGTCCTATAGTACAACGATGGAGAGGAGCGTCCTATAGTACAACGATGGAGAGGAGCGTCCTATAGTACAACGATGGAGAGGAGCGTCCTATAGTACAACGATGGAGAGGAGTGTCCTATAGTACAACGATGGAGAGGAGCGTCCTATAGTACAACGATGGAGAGGAGAGTCCTATAGTACAACGATGGAGAGGAGTGTCCTATAGTACAACGATACAACGATGGAGAGGAGCGTCCTATAGTACAACGATGGAGAGGAGGCGTCCTATAGTACAACGATGGAGAGGAGCGTCCTATAGTACAACGATGGAGAGGAGCGTCCTATAGTACAACGATGGAGAGGAGGTCCTATAGTACAACGATGGAGAGGAGCCCTATAGTACAACGATGGAGAGGAGCGTCCTATAGTACAACGATGGAGAGGAGCGTCCTATAGTACAACGATGGAGAGGAGCGTCCTATAGTACAACGATGGAGAGGAGCGTCCTATAGTAGTACAACGATGGAGAGGAGCGTCCTATAGTACAACGATGGAGAGGAGCGTCCTATAGTACAACGATGGAGAGGGAGCGTCCTATAGTACAACGATGGAGAGGAGCGTCCTATAGTACAACGATGGAGAGGAGTGTCCTATAGTACAACGATGGAGAGGAGCGTCCTATAGTACAACGATGGAGAGGAGCGTCCTATAGTACAACGATGGAGAGGAGTGTCCTATAGTACAACGATGGAGAGGAGGTCCTATAGTACAACGATGGAGAGGAGCGTCCTATAGTACAACGATGGAGAGGAGCGTCCTATAGTACAACGATGGAGAGGAGCGTCCTATAGTACAACGATGGAGAGGAGTGTCCTATAGTACAACGATGGAGAGGAGCGTCCTATAGTACAACGATGGAGAGGAGCGTCCTATAGTACAACGATGGAGAGGAGCGTCCTATAGTACAACGATGGAGAGGAGCGTCCTATAGTACAACGATGGAGAGGAGCGTCCTATAGTACAACGATGGAGAGGAGCGTCCTATAGTACAACGATGGAGAGGAGCGTCCTATAGTACAACGATGGAGAGGAGCGTCCTATAGTACAACGATGGAGAGGAGTGTCCTATAGTACAACGATGGAGAGGAGCGTCCTATAGTACAACGATGGAGAGGAGCGTCCTATAGTACAACGATGGAGAGGAGCGTCCTATAGTACAACGATGGAGAGGAGTGTCCTATAGTACAACGATGGAGAGGAGGTCCTATAGTACAACGATGGAGAGGGAGTGTCCTATAGTACAACGATGGAGAGGAGCGTCCTATAGTACAACGATGGAGAGGAGCGTCCTATAGTACAACGATGGAGAGGAGAGGAGGTCCTATAGTACAACGATGGAGAGGAGCGTCCTATAGTACAACGATGGAGAGGAGCGTCCTATAGTACAACGATGGAGAGGAGCGTCCTATAGTACAACGATGGAGAGGAGTGTCCTATAGTACAACGATGGAGAGGAGTGTCCTATAGTACAACGATGGAGAGGAGTGTCCTATAGTACAACGATGGAGAGGAGTGTCCTATAGTACAACGATGGAGAGGAGCGTCCTATAGTACAACGATGGAGAGGAGCGTCTATAGTACAACGATGGAGAGGAGGTCCTATAGTACAACGATAGTACAACGATGGAGAGGAGCGTCCTATAGTACAACGATGGAGAGGAGCGTCCTATAGTACAACGATGGAGAGGAGTGTCCTATAGTACAACGATGGAGAGGAGCGTCCTATAGTACAACGATGGAGAGGAGCGTCCTATAGTACAACGATGGAGAGGAGCGTCCTATAGTACAACGATGGAGAGGAGCGTCCTATAGTACAACGATGGAGAGGAGCGTCCTATAGTACAACGATGGAGAGGAGTGTCCTATAGTACAACGATGGAGAGGAGTGTCCTATAGTACAACGATGGAGAGGAGCGTCCTATAGTACAACGATGGAGAGGAGCGTCCTATAGTACAACGATGGAGAGGACTGGGTCTCATGCTTTCGCTCACTAGTCTGTGTGTATATGTCCACATAGGTCGTTCTGTTTCACGAAGGTTTTGCAGTGAGAATATATTGCAACAATGGTTAGTATTACTGAATAGTCGAGATATTAAGAAGGTTATATGATTACGGAAAATACCGAATGGAATAACATTTACTTGATAGATAGATACATAGATAGCATAGACAGATAGTGAGTGTGTAGTTTTACGCAGCTTTTAGCAATATTCCAACGATATCACGGCAGGAGATAGATGCGATTTCTAAATTATAAGGATTTGTTTATCGTACATGGGGTTGGGGATAGGAGGGGTTTTGTGTATATGAATGAAATTGGCTCGGAAGTTAGTCAAACAGTTTACAGGTACATTCTTCATTTGTCAGTATTCCAGCGATACAACGCGGACCTCTATATAACGGACAGCGAGTCAGAAAAAACCGTGATTAGTATTAAGTTCAATGCCCTCTGCGCGTGACTATTGACGCGATCACTGTAATTTACAGAGATAATTATAAGCTGTGAGTTAACGTTCGTACAGCCCTGCATTTAAACAAATAGCGTTTTATTCGTCAGTTATCGACCTGACACGACTAAGAATTATTGAATATATTTCTCCCGGGGACAATGGCTCATAGAAGGAAACCGGTCTGGTCGTGCAAAGAGCAAAAGTATGCATTTTATGTGTGTGACGTTTATGATCCATCGATCGAATAAGATTGCTCTAACAAATCAATGAAAAGCATTTGTTCCGTTTTTCAGTGCAAGAAGCTGAACTCTGATAAAGTTCCTTGAATGTGAATCTTACAAACAGAATGGGCGAACTTACTCGCCCACACCTGAGTATAGGCTGATAACACACTTGATAAAAATAACAAACCTGAAAATTGATTTCTTGCCAACAGAGCGACAGTCTCTCACTACCATTTCTGAAAGGCTTCAGAAATCATTATAAACCACCGCACATTTCCAGCATTTAATCATTGTCTTAGATTTGGTGAAATATAATTATGTCGACAGCCTCAAACTTTTCACTTTACTTCTTTAGCTAATGGTGTCATTATTTATACATATTCCCCGTTTCGATTTAGTGA